ACACTCTCTTAAGGGGAGCAGCCATATTGACAGTATATTGCTCGTTTCCTATGTTGGAAACCATTTGTAAAGCAGCCACCTGGAAATCTGTTCACTCATTTACCAGACACTATAGGGTGGGCAAGCTTCAATCTGCAGAGGCAGCCTTTGGCCGTAGGGTGTTGCAGCACACTCTGTAAATGGGGAAACTCCTGTTCCCTCCCTTGGGGCACTTTGCTCTTTTACGTCCCATGCATAAGGACTGTCCCACGAGCTGAACTACTAGAGAATGGAAGGTTTCTTTCACTTACCATGAAGCGTCCTTTCTCGGTGGTTCAGGAGTGGGAAAGTCCTGCCCACCCGAGTTGGGTGCGCTTCTCCAGTTTACAGAGAGGGATGCAAAATGTAGCATAGTAAGAAGAGATTGGATTTATACCCTGCCCTTCACTACCCAAGGGAGTCTCAGAGCGGCTTACAAACTCCTTCCCCTTCCCCTCCTCACAACAGACACCCTGTGAGAGCAGGTGCAAGTGGAGGAGTGGGGAATCAAACCCGGTTCTCCCAGATTAGAGTCCGCGCACTTAACCACTACACCAAACTGGCTCTCAAAGTAAAAGAAAAAGGGAGCAACAGTTGGAGTTGGCCTTAGCAGACTGAAAGAGTAGGCCACCCTTTCTCCCATTACTGATTTAAGGAAGGGCATTGTGGTTTGGTATTCACTGTTTATTCGGTTTGTTACATTGTTTGAGTCTCTCCAGTGTTTTGGAGGGAGTTCTTCCTTCTAGTACCTTTTCTGGTACTAGATCAGCAGCTTGAAGATGACTGGGAAGCCTCCAGGGGATAAGCCCCTCCCCGCCTGGATCAAAGCTCAGAGCCGATCCTTATCCCATGCATAAGGACTGTCCCACTCCTGAACCACCGAGAAAGGAAGCTTCACGGTAAGTGAAAGAAACCTTCCGTTCTTTCCTAAAGATGTGTCCATAGAGTTTCCATAAAGCCTTTCACAACTTGGGATCCACGTACTTGAAAAACCGTCTAACCTAATGAAGTTTGAAGAAGAAGAGATTGGATTTATACCCCGCCCTTCACTTGGAGTATCAGAGCAGTTTACAAACTCATTTTCCTTTCCCTCCCCACAGGCACCGTGTGAGGTAGGTGGGGCTGAGAGAGCTCTGACAGAAACTGCTCTGTCAAGAACAGCTCTGACAGAACTATGGCTTGCTCAAGGTCATCCAGCAGCTGCAAGTGAAGGCGCAGGGAATTAAACCCGGTTCTCCCAGATTAGAGTCCACACACCTAACCACTACACCAAACTGGCTCTCCTGCACAAGCACACTTTCTTGCTTGCACACAAAAGCTTACACCTTAAATAAAACTTTGTCAGTCTTAAAGGTGCCATTGGACTCAAACTTTGTTCTGCTGCTTCAGATCAACATGGCTACTCACCTGAATCTGTCTCTCCAAATGTATACTTCAAGCCAGGAAAAGTTAGCATAATGTTATCTTGTAGTGGTTCCTTCATTCCATAGGTCTCCTTGACTTCTGTTTGGTCTATGGCCTTTTCTCTGACTGTCACTGCTTTTCAGAATGCCTTGCTGGAGGAGGTATACAGAATGCTTTATCTAGCAAGATTCAGGAAGGTTTGATTAGCCGTAGTATTCCTGCAGCTTGTGGTATGCAAATTCTGATTGCTGTGTAACTTGTCTGCTGTTGGACTATCTTCTGGAATCTGGACTCTGAGGACTTGGATGTTTTTAGAGTTCTGGCGAGAAGTTATGAGTTTGGATAGACTGTGTGCATTGAAATGTGGGTTTAATTGATTTTAGGTTTTGTAGATTTTAACTGTGATTTCTTGGATGTGGGTATATTTTTGTCAATTTATAAATTGCTTCATGCTGTGAAGTTAAAGCTGCTTAAATAATTGGCTTACTCTAGGATCCCTTGAGGAAAGCAAAAATATTTTAGAGGGGACCATAGGATTTATGGCAATAAAAATGTTCCTGGCCTCATTCTTCTTCTCTCTGTAGTCTGGGGGGCAGGGCGGGGAGTGAATGCAGACTAGGGATGGGCAGGGGTCATTTCCTGCAGGAGCGCACAGGAGCGGAGCTCCGGCAGTAAAGAGCCCAGGGGGCGGGCACATGCAACAAGCCCCACCCCCTCCTCCCAGCAGCCCTCAGTCAGAGCAAGAAGCAGCCAGGTAAGTTGCAGAGCTCCCCCCTCCCAGGCCCCCCGGTCCAAAACAGTCCAGTGGCACATTTAAGACCAAGTCTTATTCAGGTACAAGCTCTCCCTCCTCTGCAAGGACAGATCTGCACATCCCCCCCCCCAATAGTTAGCAATCCAAAACAGTCCAGTGGAGCCTGAGCGGTGGGTGTTGCCTTCTGACACACTTCCGGTGATATCAGGAGGTGTGGCATATACAAATAAGTAATGCTAATGAGTTATGGTAATGAGCTCCTGCACCTCTTTTTCTACAAAATGACCCCTGGGATGGGCATGAACTGAACTAGATGCAAGCCAGTTCAGTGATCCTTTTCATTCCTCCCTGCTTGGAAGCTGCAAGAACCTCATGAACCCAAATCAATTCGGTAAATGGAAAAGTGTATGGAGGTTGATGAACCGTGGTTCTTGAGACCCCATGAACCTTCATTTTCCTGGTTCGTGCCCATTCCTAATGTAGACGATACTGGAGGATATAACTCAGAGTTTGTGACCTCTCACAGTCCAAAGTAGAGCTGAAGCTTCTCAGTGTACATCCTTAGATGGGAGTAGTCCTGCTCCAGGTCTGACAGAAAGAAATAGGGGACTTTTGTTTCGAGATCTGGCCAGTTTCATCTGATTATATCAAGTAATCTAGATTATAGAGCAATGAGTACTGCAGCCTTAAAGGCTGGTCTCACTGCAGTGGCCAACCGCCAGTGTAAACTTGGTGCTGCTAGTCTACTTCCTGAAGGGTTTGGTTAGTGACTGGCTGCAACTGCATCAGTATCTCCAACAATTGTGTTGTAGTGGCCCAAGCAGGTGTTTTGTTGCAGTGGTTGGGCTGTGACAGACAGGGCAGGCAGAACCAGTCAGGGGCTGAGGGGTGGGAAGGGGCATTGCCAGAGATCGAGGCTCCATGTTTGTGGCATAACCCCCCCCTTAATGGGACTGAGCCCTACTATCAGTCACTGGGCAGCTGAAAGAGTTTGCAGGGTCCCAGCAATCCCCTCCTGCAGAGAACTCAAGCCATCATCAAGAAGAAGGTTTTTATACCCCTCTTTTCTCTATCTTATGGAGTCTCAAATTGGCTTACAAAAAGATTCCTTTCCCCACAACAGACACTTTGTGAGGTAGGTGGGCTGGGAGAGTTCTGAAAGAACGGTGACTGACCCAAAGTCACCTAGTAGGCTTCATGTGGAGGAATGGGAAATCATGATACTTTTTTTTTTTTGCGCATTTTCTGTATGTGTGTGCCCTGGCAACCCCTACTGGGGCATGGAGGATGTTCAGAAAAGAGGCCTGCTAGTCTGCCTCTGCCTCCTGGCCCTGGTATACTTGCCATGGTCGGCCCAGCTTAGTTTCCAAGATAATCGGGCTTGCCTTGGCTATCCAGGTCAGGGCATGGGGTAGAAATCTCCTTTATATTAATGGAAGATTGGGAGGCAAAAAAGGGCCCAATCCCACCCCCAGTGGAAGGGAAGGAGCAGACTTACTGCAGCTCCCACCTGGTTCATATCAGCCAATAAACCCTGGTTCCTTCAGCAATTTGAGCTATTAATTGATACAAAATAAGGACAAAACCCGGCAGGCCTTCCTTAATAACATTGCAGCCCAATATACTATTCCACACGAATTATTGCAATCTTTGGGAAGCAGTGTCGATTTAAGGGAATGGATTTATAAAGAAGATACCCTAATTGACAAATTTTTAATCAGTAAATCAAAATTTGCTCCATGGTACAAAACCATCAAAAAAGATAATCTTAGAGTGCGTTATTTGACAGAAATTACAAGCTCAGGGCAGCACTCTCATCATTACGTTTCCAGTCAATGACAACTGAGATGCTGCTTGGACGATTCCAGAAAAAACCTGTGGACCAGCGTATATGTATCTGTGGATCCTCGATCGAGGACCTGCCACATTACGTTCTAAATTGTCCCATATACTTGGAACCAAGAGGAAAATTTCTCGCCAACATATTGTCTGGTCTCCACCTTCTTTCTGACTCTGATAAACTGATTTTTATGTTGTCAGATACAGATTCTTTTGTTTCCAACAGGATGGCACCTTTTGCTCTAGCTGCTAGAAAAATAAGAGCAAATGTAGCAACTAGGAAAATAACTGATACAGCTGCTGCTAGTTAGTTTGATGTATTTTATTGTTATATTTTAAGTATACATCATTATAAATGCTTTTAGATAATATTTATTATAGTGCTATATTTTAGTGAGGTACTTCATTGTTATATCTGTAAGTGCATTTTACATCTAACGACTCTCAATTGTAAAGGCTTATGGCCATATAGAATAAATTTTCTACCTACCTGCCTGGTTCATATCCACCTGCCTTATTTCAAAAGCTTATGTCCACCTTGCTTCAGTGGCAGCTCTTATGCTTTTGACTCATGGTGGGGGCTGGTGACAGGGAGTGTGCGAAGTAGGGGGCTGTGACACAGGGACTGGCAGCTCTTGGTACCTGTGGTTCCTGCCCACTTCACACTAGGATGCCTTGGGGATGGGATGACCCCAGTGGGGAGAGTGATCTCTCAGGCCATCAGCCCACTGGGGCCTTCCCCAGCAGTCTTAATTGCCAAGGCACAAGGCCCCCCCCCCCCCCAATTTATGTTTCAGGTTCTCTAAAAAAGGTTGCAAAAAAGTATCCTATGCATAGGTAGATGCAGACTGGCTGTGCCTGATGTCCAGTAGTTCCCCATCCTTTTGGTATATATTGAATTCATTTCATAAACTGTTTCTGTAGTCATGTATTTCTCTCCAGTGACTGAGACAATGATTTGGTATCATTGCTGATGCATTTGCAGATTAAAAGTGAAGTGAACAAACTGTACAAATTGCTGGAGATAGATATTGATGGAGTCTTCAAGTCCCTTTTGCTGCTGAAAAAGAAGAAATATGCTGCTTTAGTTGTAGAGCCAACAGGAAATGGAAACTACATTACCAAGCAAGAACTTAAAGGACTAGACATAGTGAGAAGAGACTGGTGTGACCTTGCAAAAGAAACTGGAAAGTAAGTTACATTCTCTTGTGTATAGTTCCTTATTGAATAAATTATTTTTTGTATAAATGTTGTTACTGTCTTTTATAAAGAAAAAAACTTTTGTTTGCTTCAGAGCTGTGATCTTAAGCACACTTGCTGGAAGTAAGCATCACTGAAATCATGGGGGTTTACTTATAAGTAAATGTATTTTAGCATCAAGCCAACTTTGGGTCCTTTGGAGCCTTCCAATTACCTCCCAGTGTTGAATGTTTCATTTCTGGGTGAGGTAATTGAGAGAGTGGTTGCAGAACAGCTCCAGAGTTTCCTGGGTGATATATTGGTCCTGGACCCATTCTAGTCCAGCTTCTGCCCTGGCCATGGGAAAGAGATGGCTTTGGTTTCCCTCACAGATGAGCTCTGCAGGCAGCTGGATCAAGGTGGGTCTGCGCTGCTGGTGTTATTGGATCTCACAGTAGTGTTTGATAAGGTCAATCATGATCTCTTGACCCACCGACATTAGAGTTCAGGGAGTATTCTTGCAGTGGCTTACCTCATTTCTCCAAGGTTGGGGACAGAGGGTGACAGAGAAGGAAAGAGGGTATCCTTAGTATATGGAGTACCAGAAGGGGCAATCCTCTCCCTGATGCCATTTAACATCTATATGCATCCCCTTGCCTTACTTGGAAGAAGTCATTGGTACTTACTTCTGAATAAACACACATAGAAGTAGGCTTCCTATCTGGTCATAGAAACTCCATGAATTTGTTCTTAAGCTGCTGGGGGCAAATAACACTTTTTAATCTATGAACCCCAATCATATCTGACAGTTAGCACCATCGTCTCACTTGAAAGTCCACCTAATTTGAATTGTCTAGAAACAGAATAATAAAATTTATGTATGTTAAGGTAAAGGTTTCCCTTGCTTGAAAGCCAGTCGAATCCGACTCTAGGGATGCGGTGCTCATCTCCGTTTCCAAGCCGAAGAGCTGGCGCTGTCCAAAGACATTTCCGTGGTCATGTGGCCAGCATGACTAGACGTCAAGGCGCACGGAACGCTGTTACCTTCCCACCGAAGTGGTACCTATTTATCTACTTGCAATTTCTTGCTTTTGAACCGCTAGGTTGGCAGAAGCTGGGGCCAGAGACAGGAGCCCGCTCCGTCATGCGACACTCTGGTCTCGAACTGCTGAACTACCAACCTTCCGGTCTGCAGTTCAGCATCTTAATCACTTGAGCCACTGCAGCCCCTTTAATCTTTTGATCATTGAAGAAAGAAATGGTAGGCATTTGAGGGCATGGGGGGGGTTTGCTCTATAAATTTGTATGTACAATATGGAAATAATCCTAAAATTAAGAGAGACGGTGATGGTTGCTGGTTCAGAATTATTTAAAAGGGTGTTTAAAGGGGAATAATCTGGTATTAGTAATGATGGCTCAATGGGGCCTCTGGGTTTGGAAATAAAGTGGCTCTGATTGTCAGTTTCCAAAAAGTGATCAGTAGAGGAGGGCTATTGTCTGCAAGACCTTTGTGTGAGCTATTCAGTGGCATATATTGCCACTGTTGGAAACAGGAACTTGGATCCCATGGATGATTTCAATGGATGGAAGGGGATGGAAGGGATTTCTGTTTGCAGAACTCTGCTTCCTTGCCTCCCTTCTCCTCAAAATGCTGTGGTCAGAAGTCTACAGTGGACGGGAGAATTTAGCAAAAATTACTGTCTCCGTTTTACCTACTGAAATGTTTGCATGAAATCCAACTCAGGATGCTAGGTAGATCATTTATCTGATCCAGCATGGGTGTGCTCTTAATCCTAACGCAATAAAAATTATACAGTTTCATTGACAGTCTTGTTCATTACACCATGGGTCTGTTGAAAATACTCATGGCAGTTGGGTAATTCATTGGGAAAGGTCTTGTTTTATGCTTCTGGGTCTCAATATAACACTTGGGTAGCCTGATCTCGTCAACTCTCAGAAGCTAAGCAGGGTCATTCCTGGCTAGTATTTGGATGGGATACCTCCAAGGAATACTAGTATGACGTAGGGGCCAGCAATTGCAAATCACCTCTGAATGTCTCTAGCCTTGAAAGCCCTGTGACATCGCCATAAGTCAGCTGTGACTTGAAGGCACTTTCCATTCTGTTCCAAAGGATATAGTGAAGAGAATATATGTACTTTGTATGTCTCTTACAAGATTTACTGTTTTAACATGCAGACTTTTTTTACAGTTATATAATTGGCCAGATTCTTTCTGATCAGTCCCGAGACGTAATTGTTGAAAACATCCAAAGGAAATTAATCCAAATTAGAGAAAATGTGGTAAATGGAAGTGTGCCAATAAAACAATTTGAAATCAACAAGGTAAATAATATTCTTATGTTTGAACTGGTCTTAATTTATTAATTGAACTGCCTCCTGACTCCATTTCTTTTGTGTATGAAAGATTTCCTCCTTATAGCACAAGCATACTGTTCAAATGCTATCTACAAAGACTGTGAATTGTGATCTGAACAACAGAGAGAAAAATAGCATGTGTGTAATCAGGTAGGAAAGAAGGCAGGATTTGTCTAGATTGCCCAGAAGACCAGTGGTTCTCTCCATCACAGCCAGACTTTTCTCCCCAAAGTGAGCCTGTTGTTTCTTCATAAACCCATCATTAAGATGCTTTAGTTTCAATCAGTGCATTTCTGAACATATGTGGAGTCTTGGATCTTCTGTGCTGATGGACATAGTTGAAAAGGAACTACACACATGTAGAATACAAACAGATTTAGAGTCCAGTGGCACCTTTAAGCACATTCCATTCTAATTAAATTACTGTGGCAACTGCCTGGAGAGGAGAAGGGGCACTGAAAGAGGATGAAACATTGCAAGAAGATGGGTTAAGTGCAAGGACAGAGATTCAGGTTGTCCCTGTGACTTCCAGAAAGCTTTTGATAAAGTTCCTCATCAAAGGCTCCTAAGTAAGCTCAAAAATCATGGGATAAAAGGACATGTCCTTTTATGGATCAAAAACTGGCTAATTAATAGAAAACAGAGAGTGAGTATAAATGGGCAGTTCTCTCAGTGGAGGGGGGTAAGCAGTGGGGTACCGCAGGGATCAGTACTTGGTCCACTGCTTTTTAACTTGTTCATTAATGATTTGGAGTTGGGAGTAAGGAGTGAAGTGGCTAAATTTGCAGATGATACGAAGTTGTTCCGGGTGGTGAAAACCAGTGAGGATTGTGAGGCACTCCAAAGGGATCTGTCAAAGATGGGCGAGTGGGCGTCAACATGGCAAATGGGGTTCAATGTGGCCAAGTGCAAGGTGATGCACATTGGAGCCAAAAATCCTAAATATAAATACACGTTGATGGGGTCTGAACTGGCAGAGACTGATCAAGAGTGAGATCTTGGAGTTGTAGTAGATAACTCACTGAAAATGTCGAGACAGTGTGTGACTGCAATAAAGAAGGCCAATGCTATGCTGGGGATTATTAGGAAGGGTATTGTAAACAGATCAGCCAATATCATAATGCCCCTATATAAATCAATGGTGCGACCTCATCTGGAATACTGTGTGCAATTCTGGTCACCACACCTTAAAAAGGATATTATAGCTTTGGAAAAAGTGCAGAAAAGGGCAACTCGAATGATAAAAGGGTTGGAACACTTTCCCAATGAGGAAAGGTTAAGGCGCTTAGGGCTCTTTAGCTTGGAGAAACGATGACTGAGGGGTGACATGATTGAGGTTTATAAGATTATGCATGGGAAAGAGCAGGTAGAGAAAGAGGTACTTTTCTCCCTTTCTCACAATACAAGAACTCGTGGGCACTCCATGAAATTGCTGAGCAGTTGGGTTAGAACAGATAAAAGGAAGTACTTCTTCACCCAAAGACTGATTAACACTTGGAATTCACTGCCACAGGAAGTGGTGGCGGCTACAAGCATGGACGGCTTCAAAAGGGAATTAGATAAGCATATGGAGCAGAGGTCCATCAGTGGCTATTAGCCACAAGGTATAGATAGGGACTGGGGCAAGTGATGCTCTGTCATCTTGGTGCTTGGGGGGGTCAACAGTGGGATGGCTTCTAATGTCCTGGCCCCACTGGTGGACCTCCTGATGGCACTGGTATTTCTGGCCACTGTGTGATACAGAGTGTTGGACTGGATGGGCCTTTGGCCTGATCCAACATTGGCATCTCTTATGTTCTTATGTTCTCTAGGTGGTTAAGAAACTATTTCAGTGTATGTGTGGGTGTATGTACTACATGCACACATCTCCCAGTCTTGTTCTTTGTATTTTAGGAAGGTCAGAGGGCTCCAGGTTCGGTTTTGCTCTGTGACACCTTGTTGGGTGGACAGACTGAATAGTCAGGTTCACTTCTGTTCTTGTCTGCTTATTTCTATGGTTCTTTCCAGTCTTTCTTACAACTGTTCAACTGGACAAATAAAACACAGGTGGAGGCCAAAACAACATGTTTTCAATGAAGTGTTAGGCGGGGAATGTTCCAGTTTGTAATAGTAAGGTAGGGATTCATTGTCCTAGTGGGCATGGATAATCCCCTGCCCCCTCTCCATTTGCCTGCTGGTGATCTGAGCTATGGCAGGAGAAATTTTTTTAAAAACCTATAACCCTACAGCATTGCGTATGGTGCCAAGTCACTTCCGGTTAAGAAAGGAAGGAAGTGACATAGTGTAGCTCTAGGAATCACCACGTAGTGGTTCCTTGAGCTGCCTGTGTTACTTGTTGTTTTTTTTAATTGGAAGTGATGTGATGCTGCATCTGGCATTGCATTCCCCCGACATCCCTGCCCAAAAGCCTCTTGCAGCTTTCCAGACAGCCCTAGGGTAAAGTAGATCACTACTGTAACCTAGCAATTACAACCTGTCTCTCACAAGACTGAATATTTTGTAACTGGCCCAACTACAGTAAATAAACACTGAGGTAAGTTTGTTGTTTCCTTTTTCAGAAAGTTTGCCTCAGGTTAGGAGGTTTACTGGGCCTGGTTACCAAAATGCTGGTTCCCTTGACGGTGTCAGTTTCCCTTTTCAATTTCCCTGGCTCTCAGAAACTGCTCAGGTAGTTTTGGTGCTTCTATGTTTTACCAGTATGCTTATTTATCACTTAAAAATAACCTTTCTCCCCTAAGCCTACCCACCCTACCTAAAAACCATCTTGGGTAATCTTCTGACCAGAGCCTTCAAGGCCCTATCCATGGAGAAAGGTTTTTTCCTCCTTTTAAAGTTGAGGCTTGCTCCCTCCCTCCCATTCAGTGGAGTTCCATGAGCTTTTACTGGCTGACAATCACTTGGTTTTGCCTGTAGCTATAATTGCAAGGATTGATCCAAAGCCCTGAAGGAGAGGCCAAGTCTTTTGGGGATCGCTGCCATAGTAGACTGTGGCTAGTTTATCTTGGTGATGCTGCATAGTCATGGTATTCAAGCTCAGAACCATACTAAGATGCCAGTTGGTCAAATGTTTATACATTTGCCAAGCTGTACAAAATTGCCTATCCATATGTTTGCAGATTCCGCAAAGGAAAGTGGCATGGTATAGCCTGCTCTCATCAGATCTTGGAAACTAGGCAGGGTTGGTAATCGGAAGGGAGACCACCAAGGAAGACTCAGAAGAGGAAGGCAATGGTAAAACTACCTCTGCTTTCCACTTTCCTTGGAAGCCCCTTGCTGAGGTTGCTGTGATGGCACTTTATTAAACACACACAAACATTTGCTGATTTCTTTGGATGCTCCAAGAAGATTTCTAGTGTAGAGCAGCTTGGGACAGCATGTTCAATCCTTCTTACAAAACCTCTGTCATGATGTCCAAAAAAATTGGTGGAGACAAGCTGTCTTGCATCCATAATCTCACATTATCTCTGCACACCTTCTACTGAGATTTTGCTGCCGAAGTGCAGTAAAGAGGGCTTTCATGGTTTCTGGCCAGATGGCCAAAGCCACATCATGCTGACTCATGATGTGGTCATCCTTTTGTATTCCTGTCCTGTTGTTTCAAGGGCTACACAGAATGGGAAATGCTTTTTATATGTGCATTTCTTCAGTGTATAGCAGTATGCTTCCCTATTAATTGATAGTAGCAGTGAATTGCTCCTTTTTTCCTACTCTGAGAAGGCTTGAGCTTTGAAAGCTGAAAGCTCTGGAACTGAGATTTCTTTTAGGTTGTACTTTGTTGGATGTCTGTAAGACAGAGGATCAAGTAGAGAGGGGCTGTGCGAGCATCACACTTGAAACTATTAGTTGGCTCCTGAATACCAGATGGTAGAAGGACAAAGCAAAGGTATATGTTTCTGACCATGAAGATTAATTTTCGTGGCTAATAGCCATCAATGACTCTTGTCTTTCATTAATTTGTCTAACCTTTTTACAGAAGCCATTCCAATTAGTGACCATTGTAACATCCTGTAGCACTGAATTCCGTAGGTTATCTGTACATGTGAAATAATATTTTATTTTTTCTGTTTTGAATCTGTTACCAGTCAAGTTCTTTGAGCAAGATTGTGTTCTAGCACTCTGGGACAATTTTTTTCTCATATAATTTATAATTTTTAAGCCTTTGTCACATCTCTTAGTAATTTTCTTTTTGAAATCGAAAAACCTGGAACCCCTTAGACTTTTCCAATAAGAAAGGTGTTTCAATCTTCTCTTCATTTGAGTTGACCTTTCTCAGTTCTATTGTGTGTTTTTGAGATGGGGAAACCAGAACTGTATGCAGTGCTACAAATATGGCTGTGTTATATATACTTTTTTGCAAAGCCATTATTATACTAGCTGTTTTATTTTCAGTGCCTTTCCTTATTCCCAGTATTTAGTTTGTCCTTCTCCCTGTCACTGCACACTGCAGGTCAGACTAGCAAGGTAATATGATACACAATTATTGGATCTTCTGTGACTTTTTAAAACTCAGAAGTAACTGTAGTATACACATGTGTGCTTGAATAGGGATGTGAAGGCCTGGAGTGGAGGGAAGGAAAAATAGTGGTGGTGGGAAGGAAAAATAGTGGTGGTGGGAGGTCTTCCCAAGGCATTTCTCCCCCAGTTTTTCCAAATGAAAAACAGGGAAATATAGGGGAGCTGGGGAAAAGACCTCCTATGAAATATTTTCTCTTTTGGAATGAGTGAAATGCTTTTTAAGGCATGGTTTTACTTACTCAGTGTGGCATGACAATTTCAATATAAGACAATTGCAACATTATACGATGATGTGTATGTATTCTTTAGGGGTATCCAGTGTATTTTTAAGGATATGTTTATTGTTTAAATTTGAATAATTTTATCCACAATTAAAGCTATGATTTGTTTCTTACTGCATTAGTAAATAGTTCAGTGGTTGAAAACTGTAAAAAGTAATTTGGTATCCAGATATGCTGGTAGTTCTATTGTGCTGGTATGAGACTGTTCCTGTCTAAATAATATGCTTTTTATTTGGTACAAAATTTGTATTCTAATTTCAGCTACTATTTTTTTCTACCCCCTCAGATGGCAAAAAGTAAGACTCATGTACTAAAGTAGAATAGGGTACAGCAGGTATCAACTGTCTCGCAAATATTGGGTTTATTTTTAGTTTTGTTGGTAGAAAACCAAAATGTTTGTATTTTTAAATTCCATAAATATACCCAATAGTACAACTTTTATATGCTCACCATGTTATAAATTGTGTATTTTATGTTGTTAAAGTAGTAAAGTAAGTTTGAATTGATAGTAAAGGAAGTATTGCATATATTTCAGGTTTTGTGTGTTGCGGAATTAGGGCTGGATTGAGTCTCAGTCCTCTGCTAAAACTCTGCAAAACCTCTGGTACACCTATAATATTTTAATATCTATAGTAATTAGCCTATATAGTTGAAGCTCCGGTTCTGTTCTGCTATCAGGAAGCTTCAGGACTCTGCTGTGTGTGGACTTCACTGGACATGACCTTGCCTCTTGTGGGAATGTTTATACTTTACAGTAGTCAAATGACATACATCTGACATATACAACAAAGTCAGCCCCTTTCTTTCTATCTCTGGTCAGGAAAATCAAGGAATGCTGGGTTAAGCCAGGGTGACTCACAGAATCAAGGTTAACTGTGTTCCTGGAAGCTAGCTCAGATACCCTATCTATGTAAAATTTGATAGTCTCTTCTGACTGCTTCCCTTGTACTCTGTGGCAGCTGTCAGGCCTGTGAGGGACCCCGCCTGGCCGCTTCTTGCAGCATGGGGCCAACAGATCCTGCTGTCTCTGCCAGCTTTCCCACCTCTGCTGGTTCCCATGTTGGCCCAAGTAAGTCAGCCCCAGTCCCTCCCCTGCTCTGGTTTGCAATCAAAGTTGAGGCTGCAGGGGACTCGCTGATGTGGGGTCTGGGAGACACGTCTCCCCGCCAGACAGAGGTTTTGCATTACGTATACTGCCCAGCACTAAGGAGTACAGGCAGTGGAAGTGGGAGGGTGTGCATCAGGGAGAGACTTAGCTTAAGGAAATACCAGGCCTTGGGGGGAGTAGCTCTATGTGCAAGGAGTCTTAATGCTGTGGTGACACAGCTGCTTGTAAACTTCTGGGGGGGTGGGGAGAAAGAAGTGGCGGCTTCGGCTGGGAAACAAGAGGGAGGAAGCCACAGCCACTTCAAGTTTCGTTTTGCAGGGAGAGGAAGCGAGCTGTGGGGGAAGCGAGCTGTGGGGGAAAGCCGGCAGGAGATTGGGGGAAAGCTGACAGGAGATGAAAAGTCTCTGGTTCAGGTTGGCTCATCTCAGAGAGATGAGGGGGTACCTGTTGCTTTTCTACAGGGAGGTGGATTGAAATTGTCCACTGAGACCATGGCTAGTGACATGGACTGCCTGACAAGGTCTTGAGATAGCGAGGAAGGTTGCAGGCTTAACTTGTATGGGAAATTATAGCTGTTTCTATACAAATGCTAGAAGTGTCCGAGATAAAATCGGGGAGTTGGAGTGCTTGGTGTCGGAGGGAAAAATAGACATTGTGGGTATTTCAGAAACTTGGTGGGATGAGGAAAATCAGTGGGATACGGTGATTCCCAGTTATGTATTATATCGGAAGGATAAGGGGGGAAGGGTTGGAGGTGGGGTGGCTCTGTATGTCAGAGAGGGTATAAAGTCCAGAAAGATTGAGAGGCTAAGAGAATTGGATTGAAATAGGGGGGCCAAAAGGAAACTTAACACTGGGAGTTTGTTATCGCCCACCAGATCAAAAGATAGAAGAGGATTATAAAATGATGAATGAATTAAAGATAGCAGCTAGACAAAAACACTGTGTCATAATAGGTGATTTTAACTACCCACACATTGATTGGGTCAATATGTGTTCTAGTCAAGAAAAAGAGATTGAGTTTAAAGACACTCTAAATGACTGTGCTATGGAGCAGATGGTCACGGAACATACCAGGGGAGAGGTGATCCTTGATTTGCTCCTAAGTAACACTCAAGACCTGGTGAGAGATGTAAAAGTGATTGCACCACTTGGGAACAGTGATCATAATGTTGAGTTCAACATTTGTATAAATAGGGAATTGGCCAAAAAGACTGACACAACCACTTTTAACTTTAAAAGGAGTAACTTCTCTGATATGCAGGGGTCTTTTCGTAGAAAAAGAGGTGCAGGAGCTAATTAGCATAACTTATTAGCATATGCCACACCCCCTGACATCACTGGAAGTGTGTCATAGGCCACACCCCCTGACATCCTACTGGTGGACCTCCTGAGGGCAACTGGGCTTTGGCCACTGTGTGACACAGAGTGTTGGGCTGGATGGGCTTCTCTCAGCTTCTCTTACGTTTTAACCCAGTGTGCTGCAGCAGTGAAAAAAAAGGCAAACTCTTGAATTAGGGATGATTATGAAAGGGATGAACATGAAAATTGAGCCAGCTTCAGAGGACGGCGGAAGACAGGAGGGCCTGGCGGGAGATGATCCATGGGGTCGCGAAGAGTCGGACTCGACTGTGCGACTGAACAACAAATGAAAGGGATTGAGAATGAAACATCTGATATTGTAATGCCCCTGTACAGATCTATGGGGTGGCCTCATTTGGAATACTGTGTAGACTCAGGGGAACTGATTGGCTACTGTGTGAGACAGGATCCTGAACTAGCTGGACCACTGGTCTGAGCCAGCAGTGCTCTGCTGTTATATTTAAAGCATGTTTGTGATTTGACTAAAAAATAATAATGTTGATTGGGTTTGCCTGTGTCCTTTTTAAAGTTTATATATACATGTTCCAGCCTGACAAAGTGATATTTATGTCAGATCTGGCCCTCATAACAAATGAGTTTGACACCTCCGCTTTAGGGCATGTTCATATTCCTTGTAATCTGTGGTACATATGAGCTTCATTGTAATAGCTGTAGATAATCTCCAAATTTACTTAAGAAATTTGACCTTCCTGACTCTCCAGTTCAATTTTGCTTTAATCTGTTCCAAGTGAGTGTTAGTTATGTGTGGCAAAACAAGAATGATGTGTCTATCTCTTAAATGCCAAGCAGAAATCTGTATCTCTGACTACATTGTTACAGTTCTCGCGAAGATTGCAGCCCTCTGTGCCCAGGAAAGGAAGTGCACAGGTGGTGACGTGCTAAGAACATGCCGAAGTCGTGGTTAGATTGTTGGACTAGGAACTGGGAAAGCCAGGGCTGTATCCCTCCACTGCCATGGAAGTTCATAATCTTGGGCCAGCCATTCTCTTTCAGTCTAATCTGCATCACTGGGTGGTTTCTGGCACGCTGGAGGAAGGGAAAGCAGTGTTGTTAGCCACTTTTGGTCTGTACTGGAGAGAAAAGCATGGTATAAATATCAAAATAAATACATTCCCATTTTAAGAGTCAGTTTGTGAAAAGCCATTCAAGAAATTAGGTGTGCTCCTTAATATGTTTGCTATTTCAAATGTTTATGCCTGTGAATGATATTTTATAGGTAGCTACTCTTATCTTTTTAATATTGCAGGAGTTTATTCAGCCTGTTTCCCCCAGTATAACTTTTTCTCTGTTGATCTATAGGCATTAACAAAGGATCCCCAGGATTACCCTGACAAAAAAAGCCTACCACATGTGCATGTTGCCCTATGGATAAACTCTCAAGAGGGTAGAAAATTAAAATCTGGTGACACTGTATCTTATGTTATCTGTCAGGTAAAAATATTCAGATTTGTTTTGTGTAAATAATGTATCTATTCTTTCCTTTTTTATATAAAACAAAGAAGTTAAATACAAACATGACTTCAACATAATAAAATGTTTTAAAACCTGGCTTTTACCACCCATTGTGTTACTGCATTCACCCATCCTTTTCTTACATTTTTTCTCTGTTGCTTGTGCAGGATGGATCAAATCTTAGTGCCAGTCAGAGAGCGTATGCTCCAGAACAGTTGAGCAAACAAGAAAATCTTGTTATTGATACTCAGTATTATCTGTCACAACAAATTCACCCAGTTGTGGCTCGTATCTGTGAACCCATAAATGGAATTGACTCTGTCCTTATTGCATCTTGGTTAGGTAAGCATTCAAAACCTGTACTTATTTTCTAGTTAACTATTTGTTATTCTTCCCTCTCAAATTAATGTTAAATCCTTTTAGTAGGCAAATTTACCTCAGTTATGCATTACTCTGTATTACTTTGTCTCTAGGAGTCCAAGCAATAATCTGATGTATACACTGTCTCTGCTCTGTAGGACACTGCATGATCAAAAAACAAATTAAAAAAACAACAACTAAGGGTGAAAGTTGTTCTCTGCCAGGGCTTGAGCAGTAAAGAACTTTGAATGTAGGACCTGAGAGACTTTGTGGAGAGATTCAGCATGTGAGCAACACCCAAGCACTGGCCTTCACATCCCCAGTTCATTTTCCTGGCCTGAAATGGTCCGAGGGGACACTATTTGGCCCACTGGAGAAAAGAAATCCACAGGGAATGTAGTTTTCCCAGAGGGCCAAATAATACCAACCCAGACTGTTTCAAGTCAGAACAATAGAAGCTCCTTTGCCACATATGCCATGGTTCCAGTCCAAAACGGGCACTGCGTGTGCAGGAATTGAGAACCCTCAACTACACAGGGTGAAGACTCCAGTCCCAGTTTATGTGCTCTGTAATGTGTGAATCTGCCTTGAAGTCCATCATGCCAGCAGCCCATGTCAGTATTACTGTGTGATGCCGCAGTGCCATCTCAGCTTCACTCTGTGCTCCTGCTGTCTTCTTGTCTGCAGCAGCAGTGTTCTGGGGGAAGGAGGCATGTGAGAGCAGGGATTGACGGGCTGGCCTGTAATACAGAACCCCTAGCCATGGAGGCAGGTGAGCTCATCCACAGGCACACACACACTTGATCTTAGCCCAAAGGCCGAGAAGCAGGCACTTGCACCTGCCCTTCAAACAAGTGTGTGGTTCTTTTAAAGTCTGGACTGTGCCAGGGTGGGGTTGGGCTGGCAAGCAAGGCAGTATGTGAGGATGCATGCAGGTATGCCACTATTCTCAGCTGCACCAGCACAAGGTGCTGACAGACCAAGTGCCCAAGGCCCACTGCAACCCTCAGTGCATCAACTGTCTAGTCAGTAAGGTCTGAAGAAATGGGCTTCAGTTTAACACAGACTCAAACCTCTTGTAAAGCAGCCTTTTAAAATGAAGTCTCATCAAACTCCTGAGTGGTGTTTAACTACAGTTGAGTGTGCATCTCTGTTAAAGCCTGGGCTGTGCTGCCAGATGGTCTTCCCCAGTTCTCTAAGTGAGCAAGTGCTGTATGGATCTCTTTTACTGTGCTCTTCTCAGGCCAAACTTAACCACCTTCTGCTCCCTACCACAGCCTTTACCAATAGCTACAGAAGCAATAGATAGGCTAGTGGGGTGTAGGAATGAAAAAAAACAGGGATGCAAGATGCACCAAAAAGGGAGGAAAACTTCCCAAAGAAGAGAAAAGCAGCAAGGGAAGTATTGGGTGTACAGTTCAGAGAACAGTAAAACAGACGGCTGGAGGACTTGAAGAGTGAGAGATGAAACAAAAAGGGGGAACCATGTTTTGGAATTATTTTAAATTTAATTCTGCATTTCCTGAATTCAGAGTTTTCTGGAAGTTTAAATATAACACTGCTTTATTATAATTTAGTGTAAATTGTCCCTTCAGTCTTCATTCCATCCAGTTTTTTTCCCTTCTGGAAAATGTTTTGCTTTAATTACAGGTTCCATTTTAAAGCAATATAAATAGGAAACTTACATGATTAACAAATTACAGGGGCCATCTTAAACAGCTCTGTGTAGAAACAGGTTCCATTTTATTCAGGATGATAGCCTGCCGAACAACTGTTATGTAATTTCACAGTCCCTTTAAGTTTTAAAAGGACTAGAAACCAGCCTAAGAGCTGATAGTAGAGGGGAGGCCAGATCAAGTCCATTATATCCTGAGTGCTAGAGGGGCCAGGTCTACCCACAGGAAATAATGGGATTATTATTTCCTGTTCAGCCAAGCCTCCCAGAAGTGCAAAGTAACACAGTACACATAGCAAGCATTTGAGTACTCTAGAACTTTTCATAGTACTGGATTTTAAAGACCATATGGAGAGAGGAGAGAAAAAGCTGTACAATCACTTTTTATTAAGACTAAACAGTATAATACAACATAGTGTCAAACTTTTTTCCCCCCACCTTGTTTTTTTAATATCAGTGATCAAGAATTCTGAACTTGAAAGTCTGCACACTATCATGTTTTATTTTGGTTGGTCTTAATAAAGTAAGGGTAAAGGTAAAGGTTTCCCTTGTCTTAATACAAGATATCATATGGCTTTTTTTCTTGGATTTTGCGATGGACCAAAAAAATTACTTTTTTTGGTATGCTTTGTTTCCCTACTTAATATTTCTCATATCAGAAGTCTTAGAAGCCTTTTGCTATTCTCTTCCTTTCTTCCTACAACTGTCCTTCTGTCTTATGAGATATATTTTTGTATGATGTGCTATCACATTAAACTGAAGTGGTCAACAGACTGATATTTTTTGCTCATAGATGGGCGGGGGGACATTTTACAATATGAGTTAGCCAGTTTTTTAAAAAGACAGGATCACCTTGTCCCTCTCCTCATTTCCTTTCCCTTCCATGGGGAGAATTTCCTTTCTTAAGGAAGAAATGGAATGGTACCTGTTTGATAGTTCACACTGGCAGCTCAACAAGAGCTGCTGCCTAAGTCTGTCACCCCTTTTCATCATCCCTGCTTGCTACTTCAGTGCAGAACAGCTAATGTTCCTTCTCTCCTCACTTCCCTACAGTTATCTTGAAAAGCCTACAGTTATCTTGAAAAGAAGCATAGCAAGCCATGCTTGCCTGTACATGAAGTAGATGCATTTGTTTCCATGATGTTTGTGCAAAAGTTCATAAACTCCTATTGCCCCTTCATAATCAGGAAAAATAAATGAGGCAGCATGTGTCAAACCTCTGCTCTGAGTATGGCTGGGTCTATGCCCTGTGAACTAACGGGCTAAAGCACTGGGGCAGGATCTTTGGCTTTCTAGGCTTTGCCCTTTGACCAAAAGCATGCAAAGAGGTCACCATGATTTCCCCCCAAGAGTGGTCTTAGATGCCTAGTCTACCCATGGGCACAGACGGGCATGGTGTAACAATTGGTGTAGGGGGGCCCTTTCCATTGCTTTACCTGTATAGGCTGAACTGTCCTTGCATCCCTAGTTAGATGTGTGGAGGCTCCCCTTTAGTGTTCATGTCTTAAGGCCATATAACTGTCAGGTTCAGAGCAGAGCCGTGTTAAAGATATAACTTGTTTTTCCCCTTGGCTGTGTTTGTACAATCCTCCTGTTTTGTGCTAAATTCTCATTCAGTAGAGTTCCCAGCACGGAAATCTCCATGTATATATTTGGAGTATGACATTAGGCTAAAGATGTATAGGCTCATGCCATGCATCCTGTCGTCATGAGGAATGAGTGTCCTGGCTGAGTATATATGTAGCGCTTAGTAGTGTTGTGATTGACTAGATGCTTAGTCTGTGTCTTAAGGTGTGCTTGGGGCTTGGCGTTGTGTTGGGAGGCTGGGGTGGGGACGGCTGTAGGTTCACTGTCTTTGAGTTCAATGAGAGTGCTTCATTATGACAGGATGATGTAGTAGGACATAGGTTGGAGAGCTTCAGGTGCTAAGCCTTTTTCCTTTCCTGACACTGTTCAGTTCTATACTGGTGCCCCTTGTAGCCAGCATCACTTTGATTTATGCCAATGTATTTGAATGTTGTGCCAGCATAGGACATTTCACCATCCTAAGCCATTCAGAGGCAGGGCTTGGTAGGGCACCCTGATAATCTATATCGAATCTTGTTCTTGAATTCTTCAGCACATTCTACTGAGCTGGAATTCAGTCATTCTTCCTGAATTCTGCCTTTGGCAGAATGTACCAGGAACTTTATAAGTAATACTACTGTGTTCAGGCTATTATCCAGCATTGAGGAAGAAAGCCACTGAACTTTATTGATCTTCAGAGTTTAGCCAAATATATGTGACTAATTCAAACATATTTTTATTGCCTGCGTTCTTGGAGCTAGCTTGTAAAATTTGACAGCTTTTTGGGGAATGCATTGTTTCATAAATATGAAATGTTTAGAGAAATATATTATAGATTTAGTTCAGGTCCAGGTAATCTGGTTCCAACAGTTATGTTGACCAAACTGGACACTGCAGTTAATAGTTTTTTGAAAACAGATTCAGACTAAAAACCTCTAGGTGGCAGCACTAGACACTATTTTCCCTATTTCTCAAAAGCTTTAATGAGTTAAGCTGTGAGGTGATTAACTTTTAAACTTGCATAGCTCCCAAGTAAGGCTAGGATAGTGTTAGTTTGTTTAGTGAAATAGTATAATTACCTTGCCAACTGAGACATTTCTCTTTATTAGGAAATTTCTGAATGTAAATGTTGCTGTTAATCTAATTTAATGTATGTTTTGTGCAGATTAGTTATTGAAAGCTGTTCTGTCATTATATAACTGCCCTCTTACTATTTTAAACATTTTTCCAAGGCCTAATCAAAAGAAAATTTTATTAGGTTATCATTGCTGTTAATGGAATTGAAAGGCTTTTAGAATAAGACAGACTAATGATTGATTAATCCTCTGTCTCTTTATTTAACTGGGTCATCATAGCTAGATTATAAAATTCAAAATAAAGTGGAACTCATGTTAATACTTTTCCAAGCAACATAAAGCAGAGGTGATACTTCAGTACAAAGGGGAGTTGGTGCCTCCTTTTTCTCAGATACATATTACAGATGGGAAGGAACACTATGTCCATGAGTTATTCTGGCTTGGTAGGTCCTTTTTCTTTAGTAAAACTAAAACGTCAAAAAAATGTTAAAAAGTTAACATTAAAAATGGTTTACTTGAACCAGAGAATAATCATTGAAGGAAGCAAATTACAAGATTATTAATCCAATCATATACCTTCTGTATCATTGAAACCGATCTTGATTTTATTTCTTTACTATGCTCTTGCATACATTGGTCATATTTTTCTCCAGACAAAATAATGATGAACACTAAAATGGAAGCTGATGTCAGATGCCTTGATGGAATTCTATCATTGCAGCTCTGTGTCTAAACATATTAATGAGTTCAGATGGCTTACTGTACTTTTCTGTTTAAATTTGCTTTCTGGGGGCATAGAATTAGTGAATAAGGTAACAGTGTGATAGATGTTAGTTGTTACGTAACAGTCTGCCACATATAGAATATTAAGTGAAGTCAGATCTTATTTCTTAGCCCAAGGACAGTACACACTAGAATCTTTCTGAAGTAAATAATGTATTTCTCAGTCCCAGAATATATTTCATATAGCAGAAGTGTATGAGATAAAAAAGCATTGTTGTATTGTAAAATATTACATTCTGTTAGATCACAAGAAAAGAAAAATAACACTTGCATTACATTTAAAATTAATTGAACAGTACATATTATGTAATAAACATTTTAATGAAATTAGCATACTCCTGCTATAGTATATATACTTTCTGAGTCTTAAGTTTGCTCTTTTACAATGCTGTATGTAGAAATTGGGTTGGGTTATGATTACAGTTGGTACAGTTGAAATGTTTACTAAAAATACCATATTCAGGCATTCAGATTAAATAATTTTTTGATGGTCCTGACCTTCTGAAGCATCAAGTTGCTAAAATGGGCATCAGTTCTCAGGCTTCAATCCATCCACCACCAGAATAGTATCAAAGTCCTAGTGGTATGTATGGAGAATGCTTTAGGACAGCTTCAGCAAAGGTACAATGTGGCTGGCAGTCCTAATGAATTATGTTTAATGTTCAGCACTTACTTGAGCTGTAGAAACTACTGGTTTGCTAATTTTATGTTTCTAAAATTTGAGTTAGAATATTGTGAGCAGTAATATGTTACCAGTACTTCATTTGGTAATGTATTATGAATAAATACCTCATTGAATTGGGTTATTTGATCCAAGTTATACAGTGTGTCTATCTTTTCTTACTACTCCCTTATTACAACAAATGACAAATAAAATTGATAGCAGACTCTCTTGAAAAGGAGCTTTTTTTGCAACACCTTTTTATCTTTTCTGAGAATAATGTTAGGCTTATATTATATGCTTAGCCACATTCTTTCTGTGTTAATTTAATGAATTATCATATGATCAAATGGATCTTTCTGAATAGGAAACTCATTCACTTATTAGTCCAGCAAAATATTGGTGGGCATCGGGGATTTCAATGATGGTTGAGTTGCTCATATTTCTTATACTTTCTGGGCTCGGGTAACCAAAAGTGCTTTTTGTCTCCAATTCTGACTTTTTAAATGCTGCTGCTGAATTTTAACAACTGCATTAGATTGAAACCTACATGCTGTTAACCACTGAGCCAAAATGAAATCGACCAGTGCATTGAAGTCTGAGTTGGCAGTTGTGTACAGACTTGAAGGAGTGGGTAATAGCTGTACAACCAGGGTTCTTTTAATGGAGTTTTTATAGTCTCTCTTTCATTTTAATGATGCCATTTTGGTTTAAAGACTTTCCTAATAAAGATGCACAATTTTATTCAAATATCTGTGTAACTTGAGAAAATAGCAATAAAGCTTTTCACTAGGTGTAGCATCTTCATAAACAAAATGTTCTATTGCATACTCCCCATGATAGATAATGCACAGGGCTTGTTTTATTTATAAGCTATTTTATGCGAAAAGATAAGTAATTTCTTCATGTTGCTCAGATCTTCATCTTGGGTTAAAAATGGAAAATGTATTCTTTTTTCTAAGCAGTCTCATCCTTCAGTTTTACTTTGGATTTTGCAGTTTTGTTACTCCATTTGAAGCTGATGTGTCAACTTATATGAATTGCATTCTTTGAACTTTGAATTTATATTTCGTATTAATAGGGCTGGATCCCTCACAGTTCAAAGTCTATCACCATTATCATAAAGATGAGGAGAATGATGCCTTGCTTGGCGGCCCAGTTCAGCTCACTGATGAAGAGAAATATAAAGACTGTGAAAGATTCACATTTGCCTGCCCAAAATGTGGGACAGAGAACATTTATGACAATGTCTTTGATGGTTCGGTTCGTATTTTGGCATTTGCATTTTGTAAATAGATTCTCTAAATAGGGTGTACTGTAGGAAAGAAAATATCCTGTTCTGTTTCTAATTTTGCATATGGGATGCTTGTACACTGTTGCCAAATCCACTTTTGCATACTGTTCTCTGGAAGAATCTGTCATCCATTTTTTCCATCATTACTGAACTTATTTTTCAAAGTTTTCAACATGTTTCACTGCTTGGAACTTCCCAAATAATAAATCATGTTCAATGACCAATAGATTTTCTAAATCAAATTAATTGGAGGAGATCAGTTTTTGAAAATTTCTGTTGTGTAATTTTTCATCCCTCTTGCCTTTTACATAGAGGTTTCTTCTGTGTTATCTTTCCTGCTGTCTTTGTACATCAGACATAAAAAGTCATCGGGTACATTCCTGTCATGAAGTACTGCCAAAAATGTATCTGTGACCTTGGATCAGAACTTGAAATGGAGCCAACTATTTAACTCTACTGCAATGTTATGCATGTACTAGTTATTGGCAAATTAGCAGGCTGTGGAGTAGTGAAAACCTTGAAAGTTAAAGCAAATAAATCCTTTCTCTAAATTAAAAGTAATTATTTTAAGTTAATTTGGACAAACAGCAGATGTTTTGTGTTCTTTGAATCAAAACAAAGCAGTAGTTGGAAGCAAGTGAGAGGAAAAGGCAGGCGCAGATCAGCAATACTTGGTAAATCCTTGACTTTGTTTCATTACAGCTGTAAATAAGATAGTTAATTGCATAGAGGCTTGACAACTTACAGATGGGCTAAGTGTAAGAAGAACGGATGTCAAGCTCTGCAATCTCTTCCACCTGGAATTGCTTAATGTTGTTAGTATGGGAATAGTGGGATTGCATCACATAAGTACAGATTTTTAAGCAGTAACAAGAGGGGGGGGGGAGATTTAGCTCACTGTTATTCTCTGCAATGGGTTTCTTTATCATGGGAAATGTATTAGCTTAATTTTACTGTGCACAGACATTTCAAGACTGAACATTTTGTTATGTGACAAAGTTTGCAAATTTGACAATACAGTAAGTATATTATAGTGTGGTATTTATGGTAATATGTTATCCTCTACAGTTTGAAAAATAGATACTGAATGCAAAAAGAACGTTTTGGCTTACATTGACTTTAAATGTCATACTTGCATAAGACGATTTGCAAACTTCTTATCAGTATCTATTCTCTGGATGTTAATAGGATAAAATGAAGGACAGGAGAATGATCTAAGCTGCTTTGGGTCCCCATTGGAGAGAAAGGCAAGGCATAAATGAAGGAAAATCAGAAATGTTTAAAATGTTAATTTTTGGTTTTTCCTTTTAAATCTGTCACAGGGTCTTCTGATAGAAGCCAGTTTGCTACAGTGCAGCAAAAAAGAATGTGATGAATCCCCTCTAAAATATATAACACAAATTAATAACAAGCTAATCCTGGATATACGGCATTACATAAGAAAGTACTACAGTGTGAGTAATTTTCTTTCTATTTAGTCAATTATTTTAACATCAAATTCTAGATCTTGCACTTCATCTCTTTATATATCTTTAGGTATAATCAATGCTTTAGGTATAAAGAACTTTAAAATGACTTTTTAATGAATTTTCCTTACAAAATATTTCCTTACAAAAATGTATGCTAGCATGCAGCCTGATCTACAGAGTGTTTATAAAGTGTATATGTCACTCATTTCTATAGAGTTTTTGCAAGGAGTCTTACCAATGAGCAAATTGAGTAGTCTGAATAATCTTAATTTGGGTTATCAGATTACAGGTAGATTATACAGTGCTTATTCTGAAGATATCATGTGTTTAACTTTGCGCTGGGGAAAAATATTGTGAAATAGATGGTAAATTGTTAATGTTTCTTTCAAATTGTTCAGGATGTATTGCTTATTAATGCAGAATGTAACATTACTAATCCAGTTCATATCTGACTGATTGGCAAAGAAAATAATGTCAGTGCCAATAATTTGTGCTTTAGCTACCTTTATTAAAGTGGCTTGTCAATAATCTGAAAGCAGATGAGCAGGAGATTTTTACAGGATAGTACATTTAGAGAGGCTACTAGTGTATGAATCTTCAAAGAGCTGTGTGTGCCCCAAACACCTTGGGTTTTCTGTTGAAATAGATGTTCAGAACTAGGATTTAATTAAAGCACTTGTTTCCTGAGTTAAAAGTTGCCAGTAGTTTGTACACTGTTTTCAGCGTTGCACAACTTGGTAGGTGACATCCAGAACATATGGAAATGACGTTCAGAACAAGAGTACTGCTGTATACTGGAATGTGTGATGCTTTCTTAGGGATGGGGGTGCATAGGGAGCAATGTTACCTCTAAGCTGTGGAGTCTTGTGAGCAAAAATTCTACTTTGTGAGCTACTGGCATTAAAGTTGTGAGCGAGCCATTTGGCTACTGCATAAATTAGTTTGTTCTGGAGCCATCCTTCCTGAGCGAAGACAAAAATGTGTGAGCCGGAGGCTGAAAAATTGTGAGCTAGCTCACACTAACTCAGCTTAGAGGGAACACTGGGGGCTCATGAATTTTGATAGCTTAAAAAGTTGAAAATATTTATTTATTTATTTACATCACTGATACCCTTTCTGTCCAATCAGGGCATGTATTTATTTTCATAAGAAAATTTTAGAACTGTGTCCCATAGTTAATAGTACTGTATGCATATTAAGCATAGAAATATTGACAGGGACGGGGAGAAATAATTCAACTGAACATTTGCGCTGTAGGTATTTAACTTGCATTTCAGTGAGTTAAGCAATCACATTTTGAAGGTAAGTATCCCCAGCTATAATGTTGATGACAATTTAAAGTTATTGAGATGATGATGTTTTCTGAAAAGATAACCCTATACTGGCATAGTGTAAAATGTTGTGTTATACCCCTTTGGATTTTTATTCGATCATCTGGTTTTGGCTAGTTTTTACAGTTGGAATGACTTTAAAATTTAGCTTTCACACTTGTATAACTTTGTGTCCATTGTGTGAAAATGCTGTTTACAGGAGAAGCTTGGTATTGGTGGTGCTGGTGGAAAGTGGTGTCACGTCACAGCTGACATGGTGACCCCGTAGGGTTTTCAAGGCAAAAAACATTCAGAGGTGGTTTGCCATTACCTGCCTCTGCATAACAACCCTGGGCTTCTTTGGTGGTCTCCCATACAAATACTAACCAGGGCTGACCCTTCTTAGTGTCTCTGAGGTCTGATGAGATCAGGCTAGCCTCAGCCATCCAGATCAGGGCTTGGTATTTCCTGGTCATATTTTATCAGTCTTGCTTGATGGTTTCAATTGAGTAAGTTATACTCTGCTTAATAACAGTTCTGGAAAAACATTTTAACAAGTAGCAGTGGTTTTAGGGATACCTTTCCAAACACAATCATGTACTTCTTGTGAGATCAGAAAGCAAATGTAGTTGTTTCATCAAAATATGATAGCATGTGCTGTAAATTGAACTTGTTTCAAGATTTAACGTTTTGTTTTCAAATAAATTGGAACTGATGCATTCAAAACCATCACATTTAACTTTGCTTGATCCAGGTATACTGCAGAACCTTATACCTGTAGAGAATTTTGACAGACAGGGTAGGTTCCGTCTCTCCCTAAGAGCAGCCAGTGAGAGCTGATGGGATGTTGGGGAGACTGCTAGAAAACAGCAGTTTAGGAACAACAATTGGGAGTTGGCACCTGGGGAGCTGAGAGGGAAAAGGACGTCTGACTGAGTGAAGCTGTGGAGAAGAGCTGCTTATTGTGGGTTGAAAATAGTAAACGATCCCAGTTGCAGGAATAGGGTCACAGTTCAAATGTTGGATGGAAGCGAAACTTGTAACTTCTCCCTTTCTTCAGTGTTACGTAAATACCATAAATAAAAGTTAACTTCTTGTTTTATTTAACCCAATGTGCTGTGTGTCTAAGGGAAAGAAACACACACACACACAATTTAATATATCGGTTTCTAGGATATCAATAAATGTTGGCAATGGAACACTGTTTGAGCTCCCAAGTGCTATAACGCTGTGTGAGAGAGGGCCTGTTATTAAAGGGGGCTAGGCTACCCTGTCTGCTGATGTCTCTGTGAGTGTGAGAGAAGACCTGACAGGGAAAATGGTCAAGGCTGAAAATGGTCAAGGCTCTCTGTATAGTTTAAAAAAGACAAGAAGAATGTGACGTCCTGACCTACTCGTAACCCAAAACCTGAGAAAGAGAAGTATTAGAGGGTTGTAGGCACTCTATTTTAGTAGAGATGGGTCACAAGAATGTTATGTATTCCATTGTAATTGACTAAAATATAAAACCAGAATATACTGTTTGTAATGGGTTGAATCCTACTGGTTTACTTTTCTCACTGTACCCTAGCAACATCTTTTGACCCGTAAAAGTCTATGCCATAGACAAAAGGCCATATAATAGGAGGGGCTACAGTCAGAGGGAGAATAAGGCAAAATTCCCCCTTCTTTCAGCAGCAGAAAGCTGTTAGGATCCAACCCCAAAACTTGTTCGATATGATGAGAAAATATTCCCATTTGTTTGCTAGTAATGGAACATTTAGCTGTAGTGTGAAACTTTTTTCCCTCCCCCTCACCAGGGTCTTTTCCTCCCTTTCTACCAGTAATGAACTGATCTGTTGCCTTAGGATATGTTTTAGATTTTTAGTGCCTTTCTTCAATCTACTGTCTTATGCACTCCTTGTTATTTCTTAGTCCAATGCTTACTTTATCTCACAATCCAGCCTACCTATCACAGAGACTTTCAGCTCACTTTTCATCTGCTCAGCCTCCTTGAAAGGAACCCGTGTTCATTTTCTCTTAAGAGCATACAGAAGACTTTGTGTATTAAAATGTGTTTTATGTTATGTCTGAGCCACAATGGAAAATGAATAATATTTTAAGCAATGATTATAAGGAATAATGTAGAGGGAAGCAGCATGGTATAGCCTGATCTCATCAGATTTTGGAAGCTTTGCAGGGTCAGTACTTGGATGGAAGATTGCCAAAGAAGGCTCTGCTGAGGAAGGCAACGACAAACCACCTCTGCTTCTCACATGCCTTGAAACCCCCCCCCCCCCTTGCCGGAGTCACCATAAGTTGGCTGCGACTTGATGGCACTTTACACACACACACACATATCACATACTGTTTTGGAGTATTAATGACCAGTTTTAGTTATATAAATGTTTGACCACATGACATTTTGAAATGTATAGATTCTTTTTTGTAAACTGCTCTCCTGGAAAGAAGTTTTGTTCAAAAAGTGTTGGGATTCTTGAATAAATACTGCTTATGCAATTATATTATTCCTTCTGTTGTTGTGCAAAAAACAAACAACAAAAAAGCATCTCCTTTTGTCCCAGTCTTCAACTCGTGTACTCTTGTTTTCTTTTGCCTCCTCAGCCTGTCCCTTTCGCTGCAAACTCTGCCCCTTCCTTTAGCCACCCTGGTCCATACCTCTGTCCTTCAGCTTCTGGATAATGTTGATCTCCTTCCAAGAGAGCTTTCCTGAGCTAGGTATGCAGATTCTGTCCCTTGGTCGCTGTATGATTTTCCCCCAAGGCCAGTGACCTTTCATTTCTCTCACAGAAGCTCTTCACCATCTTATTTTATGTCACCTTCCCTGACCTGGTTTTATTCCACCTCCCTACCACTTCCCAAGATATAAAACATGAACTTGGATTAGCATGGTTGCAATCATTACCTAATAATTTTGTTTGGAAGGTGAGTTAGAAATACATGTGAATGTTCCACAACTTCAGAGTCGCTTGGCCAGTGGCTTTGGGAGTTGACTTGTAGGCATCTGATAAGCAGTTTTAAGTCCTGTGTGCATAATATGTGAATGTTGTAAGTTGCCTTAAACCAAAAGAAAAAGCAGGATATAAAATAATAAGGTATATATAGACATATTTTGAGTTTGGTAGAATTGAGGTTCATTGTGATGCAAACAAAAAACTGTCTGGAAATGCAGGAGACCTAGCAGTTGGAGTTTTGCCATGTATGCCTGAATAGTGAAGGAAAGAGAGTGAGATACCCTATGCAAAACACAAAATTGCAGTCTCTTTCCTGGTAGTTCCCTCCTATCATTTAAATTGGATTTAAAGAGCCCAAACTGAACAAGGACTGGATGAGATAAAGGGAAAGGAATATAGAAGAAAGTGCTACGTGGGCTAGAGTGCAGTAGATAGAACATACAGATCCTTTGCCTCCCCCAAATTGACCTGGTATTAAATATATATAGTGTTCATCTGTATGGGAGTGTCATGACTAAGTGTTAAAATTTATTTCATGACCTTTAGAAAAGTGATCTGACTTTAACTGTACTTAGAAATCTGCTGTTGATAATCTAATACTGGATATCCTTGCTAAAGTAAAATATTGATTGTTAAATTGTAATAAATTTGAGGCACTGTGTCTTTTGTTTTGTTTTTACCTGAAGACAGAAGGTAGTTTACCACAGTGGAATCTAAACAT